TGGATAAATATTTTAAGTTTATATTAGTATTTTTATAAAAGTGTAAAGATTAAGTGAACTTATTTTAAAATTTAATTAAACATAATAATATAATATACTATTAACCATAAATATGCGAATATTTAGATAGAAATTAATTTTAAGTTTTATCATTTTTATTTAAAAAAATTGTTAAAAAAATAAAAATAATTAATTAAAATAAAGAATTTTAATTTAATAAATGTGTTAATATTATTAGTTATTGGAGAATTAAATTTATAATAATAATTATATAAAATTATAGAATTAATAAAATTTAAATTATTGGTATTTTTTTAATCATGAAGCTAAAATTTGATAATATTAATAAATTAAAATAAAAAAATAAAATATATATATATATATATATATATATCACTTTAATTATTTTACTTAAAAATAATTTCATTAAAAAACTAATATTTGAAAATAAAAATGCAAAAGTATATAGTTTTTCTTTTATTTAATTATATTTTTTATTTTTTACTTTTTGGGTTTTAGTCCATAACAACAATTTAATTGCTCTAATTTCCACAAAAATATATAATTTCTCTTATTAACAAATAAATTATATTTATATACAAATAAATATATATCCGTGTAAATATATAAATATAAAATATATAAATACAAATATATTTATATATTTTGATATATTTATATATTTATATGTTCGATGTGAGGATCACGCTAGAGGGTGAAAGTGTGTGTCGAGTGAGTTTTCAAAATTTGATGTCAAATTTGTGAGCAAGTCTCTTTATATGGATTTGTAATTTAATGATAGAATATAATCTTTATAATTTATTTATATAATGATATAAAATAATTGTTTTATTTATTTATTTTTATTTTATTTTAATTTATTCTTTTTATATTTTTTTCTTCTATTATTTAATTAAAATTCTTATATTAAAATAATTTTTCATTATTAAAAATAATTAAATATTTATTTTTAAAATTATTTAATTTAACAAATTATTATGAATTAATCTATGTCCGGAAAAAATAATTATTAAAAGATGATTTTGATTAATTTATAATAATATATGTTAGGAAAAAATTGTTCTATTAATAATCATAATTAGATTAATTTATAATAATTTGTTAAATTAAATAATTTTAAAAATAAATATATAATTATTTTTAATATTGAAAAAATTATTTAAATATAAGAATTTTAATTAAATAATAGAAGAAAAAATATAAGAAGAATAAATTAAAATAAAATAAAAATAAATAAAGAAAAAATTATTTTATATCATTATATAAATAAATTATAAAGATTATATTGTGTCATTAAATTATAAACTCATATAAAGAGACCCGTCACAAATTTGACATCAAATTTTAAAATCTATCGACACACTTTCACTGACGCCTCACATCAACATATATATATATATATATATATATATTTATATATTTATATATTTATATATTTGTATTTATATATTTTATATTTATATATTTACACTGATATAATTTATTTGTATATAAATATAATTTATTTGTAAACTATTATTAAAAATTCCTAGTAGCTAAGTGGTTGGAGAATCGGTCTCTAACTCTAAGGTACTGGGTTCGAATCCTGCCAATAACAATTCTTTCAATCTAATAATAATTCAAATTTCTAAAATATATAATAAATAATAATGATATATTATAAAAGAATATAAAAGGGAGATTAGACAGTTATAAAAAAATATTTTTAATTTTTTAATGTTTTTGTTAGTGACCGATATAGTGACTGACTCAATCGGTTACTATTTCGGTCACTATTTTAGTTAGTGACCGATTTTGATCATTTAGTGACCGAAAATTCGGTCACTATTTGATGTTTTTGTTGTAGTGATTTTTTGTTTTACCTGTTGTGTAATGTTGTAGATTGATGGGAGACTACTTTGGAAAAGATGACCGACTTGATCAAGAGGAATATTTCAAAGTTTAAAAGGTTTGATTCACATAGAAAGTCATGTTAGGGTTATATTAACATTGGTTTGGATTAATTTTAGGGTGAACAAAGCACCTAGGTGAGTTTTGAACCTTATTCCTTTTTGTGTGCACCATTCATGACATGAGAACCTTCTAGAACTTGATTGATTTATGTGTGACACCAGACGAGCATATACACCTGTAGATATGATTTAGGCCTTCTTTATCTTAGCTACTTAGCTAAATAGGCTACCTTTACCTTAAATTATCCTTTAAACCTACCTTTGAGCCTTAGCCTTTTCAAACCTGCAAATTAAAGTCTTTCCAACCCAAAAACTACCCATAACAAGACTTAAAAGGAAGTAAGGAGCGTGGAATCATCACAAAAATCTAGTTCTACTCACCACCGACAAGTTCAAAAAAAAAAAAGGAGAAGTGCTAAAGTATCAAGAAAAAGAAAAAGAAAAAAAGGAAAAAAAATCATTTTGTTTGTGTGTCAAAGCAATAAAAGAGCTCTAAAGACACTCTAATATAAGGGTGACAAAACAGAAAGATGCAATTGGAACAAGTTTCATGGTACATTGATCCATATTTTTTATTTTTCCTAAAGTCTTAGCCCACTTTGCTAAAATAACCTACCATGAACCCTAGTTCCATCACTACAAGAAAATGATTAATTACCAACGGATAATTACTGATGGATCTAAAGTCATCGACAAATAGTGATTACCGATGGACATTACTGAGGGATATAAAGTCATCGACAAATAGTGATTACTCTTTATTTCTTGATCTAAGAGCATTTTCTAAGTTAATTATTTTATTCATAAATCATGTATTTAACATGTTTTCATTAAAAGCATAGTATAATTTAATTTTTCTTAATTTGTCACATTTTACATAATTTTAACATAATAAACAATATACATGCATATATCCACATTGAATATTTCTTTTCTTCTTTTGTAGGAGAAGTAATTTGAGATGGATCAAATTAATGGAAAGAAATGTCGAAATTGATGCCGTCAAGCTTCACTATTCTTGGAAGCCCAAGTTTGCTTATGCAGCCTACTTGCATAATGTTACAAATGAAAATTTTGAATTAAGCAAATTAACTGGTGCGAGAATCCAATTTAGCTGAGTTAAAGGCCAGCAAGAATCAAGAATTAAATACAAATCAGTGCAAAATCCCCCAAATAAGAAAGAAGCAGATTATTTTCTCCAAATCAATCCCATAAATTTCTCTTCACAACAATCCAATTTTGTAATGAATTATTTGAGAAATATTTGATTTTATTGTAATTAATTTTAGGCTTAATTTCTCTTACTCAAACCCTTATAAATAGAGGTCTTACGACAACACACAATCATAATCTCCTAGCTTGAGGTGAGAACTGTTGTTTTGTCTCGTCCCCATTTTTTTTTCCTATTCTCATTTCTTAGTTTAGTTACTTCGATTTGTTTTCTTTCATTTAATTTGCAATTTCTATTGAATTTTCCAATTTATATTGTTCTATTTACTTTATTTATTTAGTACTCATTTTAATTTTTGCTATTTAATTGTTTAGAATTTTTATTCCAGTATTGCTTAATTTTCGTTTTCAATTAATCTCTATTCCAATTCTAATTCTCAATTCAATTTTAGACTTATTGTTTCCAGAAATTTCAAATTTGATTACTGCACTATTTTTTTAAGGAATTCTTAATTTTTGTACTTTTAATTAAAAGCATTTTATTTTAATTTTTATTTTCAATTTATCTCTTTTCTAATTCCAATTCTCAATTAGCTTTAGAGTTATCATTTCCGAAATTTCAAATTTGATTACTTGCACTATTTTATTTTAAAGTAATTCTTATTTTTTGCACTTTTAAATAAAAATACTTTATTTTAATTTTATAAATTTCATTTTATTTTAAAGTAATTATTGATTCTTACACTCGTTAATTAAAAACACTTTATTTTAATTTTATAAATTTCAATTATTTAAATTTTGTTTTCATTTAATTTTAATTATCGTTAATATTCTATAGTAATTTGATTTTGTTTATCATTTTGCATCCATCTATCATAACCGACCTCCTTGGACTTTGAGGATAGACTTCATCTGGGCATTCCATCTATCATAACCGACCTCCTTGGTCAGTCGAGGCACAACAACATCATTTGTCAAACCAACCATCTCACTTCTTTTAACACTAAACCTTCAACTCTCATGGGAAACCCTAGCTCTCACTACTATGAAGAACCCTAGTGCTTCTAAAAAAACCCTACCTCTTGAAATCAATTTGATAACAAAGAATTTCACATAAACTGGAAAGTTGTATATTATTGATATTTCGTCAATTCTCAAATGAGGAATACAATGTTGTATTTATACAAAGTCTCAATATCTTCCCAAAATAAAAATAATAACTAACCAAGATATCACTAATATCAAAATGTTCCAACAAACTCCTAATTATCTTCTTATTATTTTTTTATTCCAATAAATTTTAAAATTAATTATTTAATTTTATTCAACAAAACTATGTACACACCAAGTCCACACAATAATACAATTTTACAACAAAAATGTAAATTTCTACAAGGTGAAAATTGTTTGCCACAAGTAACACCCACAAAAGTTTTTTTTTTAGTGAGCATTAACTGCATGGTCTTTGTTCCAAAAAAAAAATATTCTATGAAATGATCAACATCTACATCTTCCATTTTATTAAAATCACCGTGTTAATATAAACATGATATAATTACTTTTTATTCACTACACAAATTATAACATATTGCTTTGCAGTTCAAACATCGAATCAGATAATCAAATTACATAGTAGGATTCTGAAATTATTTTAGAATTTCTAAAAGTGAGTAAATAAATTATTCAAATCAAGTACATAGAGAGCCAAACAAAGAGTTAAGCACACGCTCAGTCCAATTGACTTTGGATAAAAACAACTTAGGTACCTACCTACTTGTCTCTACCACTCATGATGCCTCTGTACAAGGCAAAAGGAGATATCACAATGAGATGCATAATGTGCCACACACTGCATATTTAAGCACGCGTTTTAAAGGATAAACCTGATCCACTTAACTTTTCTTCAATTGTTTTGGACAACATTTCTATCATAGCTGGAGAAAAATAGTTGATCCAATCTCCTATTTCACCCTTTCGAAATAAGTATTTTTTCTCAATGTTCCTGCCCACTGTTCCAGATTTATTCACTTCCAAATCTTTCATTTTCTCGAAACTACATAACTTAATTATGCTTTCAATCCCTCCATTACTTTCCTCTTCTTCCGTGAAAGGACAATCCAAGTATTCTGCAACTCTTTTCACATAAAATTTGACATCTTCTTGAAGTTGTTCATACTTCACGAATAGAACCTTGTTTGGTGTAGCTATGCTTTCTTTCCAGTAACCTAACATATGGTCCCAAATCGGACCAAACCCAATTATTCCCTTGCAGTACATTTGTAATGCTTCCTCTATTGTTACTTCAGGTAAAGACTTTGACTTGATGTTATTGAAGAAGGACCAAGATGAAACAAAAGTGTCAAATGGATTTCTGCAAATGTAAATTATCTTACAGTTGGACTCCATGATTGACTTGGGCAGGGAAGGGAGTGGAATATGAGTACCAAAAACTCTTGGCTCGGTCATGTTGGATAGGTAAGAAAGTTGGTCTTGGATGTTATCACCATGAAAGAGAAAGTCAAGGAAAGGCACAAGCTCATGAGGATTGGAAGTGAGTAATGGATGGTTCTCTAAAGAAGAGAAACGTTGACGGTTGAGAATAGCAAAAGTAAGAGCTTTCAACCAAGTAGTGCCAGATTTTGGAAAGCTAGCAACAATAACATCATTGTGTTTTGCCTGAAAGTGGTTTTGAAAACTGTTTACACCTTGAATATGAGTTGATGGACACCAAAAACCTTGAAATAGATAGAGATAGCGTGATGCCCAACCTCTCTCTTTGGGAAGGGACTGAATTTGCTTCTCTTCTTCATATTCTTGATGGCCTTCTGTTGAAGCCATTGGAGCAGCTGAAATAGAATGTGAAGGATACCTGTGAAAGGTTGATGATAATTTAGCTCAATAACGGACATGTTTTATAGCATCATCTTGCAGATCAAGTTCAAGATTTCTTTTTACATATAGTATTTTGCTATTTATTCTTTTTTGTTTGTCTTTAGCTTTTAACGTGGCTTGCATTATTGGATGCTTTAGTGTGTTTTTTCTACATGGCTTGACATGTAGGTTTCCACTTTTTCTTTGTTCTGTTTATTTCATTATTACGGGAATGGAAATATTTTCTGTCCTCTCCAATTGATTATATATATATATATATATATATATATATATATATATATATATATATATATATAAATTTATTGTGGAACTTTTCCTTCAAAATTTCTCCTGTAGCTTTTAAAATTTAGGAGAAAAACTCGGGAAAAATTTATTTCAGGAAACTTTTTTATAACATTGGCAAAAAAACTTTACATGAAATTGGACAAATTCATAGTGATTCAACATTTGATATAAATTTGTGAAAGTACTTTTTTTTCATAATTTAAAGAAAAATATAAAATATTTAATCCTATTATTTAATTAAATATTTGAACATTTGTGGAACATACACTATTGTTTTCACATAATGCTGAAAGAATGCACTGGGAACAAAGCTTCAACATTTTTGGGTGACAAAAGAAAATCATTTCAAGTTTTACGTAAAATCTTGCTTAGCCAATGCACATGAAATAATTAGTATAAATTAATAAAAACATTTAATAAACAGTAAATGTTTTTCAGTCATAATATTAAAAATGTCAACTTATATATGTGACTCACATCAACCGAATAAACATGATTGTGTTGAAACAATTGGATTATTAGAATTTTGTTTTGTTTGCTGGATCGCCAAAATTCGTATTTTGTTCATATTGACGAATCTGGAATATTTTTTAATCGTCCAGTCTAGAATATTTATGGATCCATAAATCTGGAACGATTTTTTCCACTTATATATTTTCTACAATATTTCAAATGTATCACTCTATAATTACAAGTTCTGTAAATTTCCCAATAACATTATTCGAAATTTTATTTTACATCATAATTAAATAAAATCCGCACAGATTCTTGAAAGCATGGTTGTAGTTAAAATTTGTAGGGGTGTAGGAAGCAATTGTCCTCACTCTATACAACCATAAATCTTAGTTAGGCTAACAAACAATTAAGTTCACGGTTATTGTTTCACACTAAAATACTCACTATACCCCCTACTACTACTATTTGATAATATACTTATATATTATAACATTTATCTTTTATTTTTCATAAAATTTGATTTATATCTCCTTGAAGCTTAACAAATGAACTCAAATTCTTTACACCTAGGGATTAGATTTGGTTATGAAATATTCTTATTGATGTTAATGTTCAAACTTATAGTGTGACATTACAAGAGAGCGTTTTTAAGTGAAATTTAATCCTTGAACTTTTCATACTTTTTGTATGAAATGTAAGGAATGTGAATATTATCTTAGAATTTGCAAAACTGAGTAAATAAATTATTCAAATTAGTGCACCATAGAGCCAAACAAAAAACCTTTACTTACAACTTAAACACACACACTCAAGCCAATTGATTTTAATTAAAAAAATCAACTCATGATGCCTCTTTACAAAGCAAAAGGAGATATCACAATGAGATGCATAATGTGCCACACACTGCATAGCAACTTATTTTATATATTTAACACTGTATATTTTCTTCAGTTGTTTTGGATAACTTTTCTATCATAGCTGGAGAAAAGTAGTTGATCCAATCTCCTATTTCACCCTTTCAAAATAAGTGTTTTTTCTCAATGTTTCTGCCCACAGTTCCAGATTTATTCACTTCTAAATCTTTCATTTTCTGGAAACTACATAACTCGATTATGCTTTCAATCGCTCCATTATTTTCCTCTCATTAGTACAAAAAAGGCTTTTTACGTCAGGTATTTTGGGTTTTTTACATCGCATTTAACATTGACGTTAAAACGGGAGACGTAAATTTATGTCGAACCCTTAATCTGACGTAAATTCACGTCAGTTATCGAGATCTGACGTTAATTTACGTTGTATTTACACTAAACATACGTAAAAACACTACAAGAAAAAATACATTTAGCCACCAAAATTAGCGACCGAATTTTTTCGGTCGCAATTAGCGACCGATTTAGCGACCAAGTTAATTCGTTTGCAATTTAGCGACTGATTTAGCCACCAAAATATGATTTGGTTTCACTTTTTTATTTAGCGACCGAAATAATGACAAATATTTTGCGTCGCAAAATTTCGGTCGCTAAATTGGTGGCTATTCCATATTAAAATAAAAAAATCATTTAGCGATTGATTTAGCGACCGAATTACAAATTGAAATAGTGACCAAATTAAAATCAGTCGCTAATGAGAAAATAGCGACCGAATTGAAATCGATCGCTAATGAATATTATTTTTTTATTATATTTAAATTTATTTTTTTATAAATATACTTTAATTGTTTTAGTATATGTTTTACAATTTATTTTTTAAAAGTAATTTATTTTTTAAAAATAATTTAATTTTTAAAAAATATACTTTAAAAATAAACTTTGGTCTCAATATTAACAAAATGAATTGTAATAAATCAAATTTTTTTAAAATTTAAATTGTAATAAATTAAGACTAGAGTGATATTAACTATTCAATACATTGTTTAAGAAAAGTTTAATAACAAATATTCTTTAATTTATTTTTCATTTGAAAATTTCAATTAAAATTAAATTATATTTTAAAAATTTATATTAAAAAAATTAAACACATCAAATTATCACATTTTAATTCCTCATTAACTTAATTAATTAAAAAATACAATTTTAATCAAATTATTACAATTTTATTTTATAATACTTTATTTTTAATCTAATTTTTAAATTTATTGTTTTATTATTATTAATTACTTAATCATGGTTGTTGTCATATAATTGATATACCAAAAAAAATTTATATCAATATACATTAGATAATAAATATATTATTTAATTAAACTATTTATAAAAATATATTTATCTTTAGTAAAAATATTTTTTAGTTTAAGTATACTAATTAATATTTTTTATTTTTAACATAATTAACAAAAAAGATTAACAATTTAAAATTAATCTATTTTATAAATACTAAAAATAAACCATATTTAAATAAATGAAAAATATATTTAAATTTATATTCAATGTGCCTTTTTAAAATTTATATTCAACATATATTTATATTTATATTAAAAATAGTTAATATAAATTAAGGTTGTGCCTTTTTAAAATTTTAACTTTTTTATATATTGGATTTTCATTAAAAAATTTCTAAAATTGCATAAGAAAATAGAGATTTAATTATACTTTTAATAAATTTAAGATAATACTAGTTTTTATTTTTAAATATTTATTTTTATTTTTTAAAAGAGAGAAACTATAATTTTAGTTTCTAAATACTAAATTTAAAGAATTAAATTTATTATTATTTAATATTTTAATTTTAGTATTAAAAATCTAAATTATATTTTATTAAATTAAAATAATTACAATATATTTTTCTACTTTGAGAATTAAAAATATAATTAAACTAAAACTGAAAATATTATAATACATTTTTGAACTCTTTTTTATAATATTTTTATCATTATTATATTTTTGGATTAATTATTTTTTTCCTAATTTTTTATAAAGTCAATTTTAATATTTAAAAGTATTTAACATTTTGAATTCTGAAACTTTTTCTCTGTTAAAAAATTTAAAAACATAATATACTAAAAAAGTATTATACATAATTATTTCATCCAAATATTTAATAACATGATAAGTCATCAAATTCGTATATAAAACAAATTTAACGATGGATTAAAATAGAATAACATTTATAAGAGACTATTTATTTTTATTTATGATGGAACAAAAGTGGAAATACATTTAAATTTATAATTTTATTTATGAAACACATTTTAATTTATAATTAACGAAAATAATAAAAATCTTAATATAATATGATACTTTTAGTAATGTATTTTTTTTATAAATTTAAACTTATTTTTTTTAGTTTATTTTTTAAATTTTATGTATTATTATTGTTAATTGATATACTAGAATAAATTTATATAAAAATAGTCTTTATCTTCAAAATTCACTTCTTCAAATACTATCTTTATATTTTTCTACTGTTTCTTTATAGTTAAGAAGGTCAACATTTGTGCACACACTTAAATATAATATAAAGTAAAGAGTATTTGTTTATTCTATTTTATTTCCAATCTATAATTTGAGTTTTTTTTAAATATATTTTGTATTTTTAAAATTAATAATTTTAATGTAGTTATCTAAATTTTGTATGTGATGATTTTAACTAATTAATATTATCGAATCATTTAATTTGATTTATTATAGTAAAAATCATAAAAATAAATGTTAAAATAATATTAATTATTTTAAATTATAAGAAAATAAATAATAAAATAGAAAATAAAGTATTATATAAAAGAAGACTAATTATTATAAAATAAAATAGAATATGGGAGGAAATGAGGATGATAATATAGTAAAAATGATAGAGTTTAAAACACAATGTAGAATGTGAGAAGTTTAAAAAGAAAAAAAAAGTTAAAAAAGGATATATATATATATATATATATATATATATATATATATAAATGTAATTTGATTAAATTTATTATCCCCTCATATATTATTATAGATTATTAGTGTAATTTTAGTTTAATTAAAAATTAGAATACAAATATAATATACTATACTAATATACCATTATATTATTTTCATTGTATATAAATTACAAAACTAATAATTTTTAAAAAAATTTAATGATAATTTTTTTAACTTATATATTACAAAATATTTTTTAATACTTTAATAAATATAACTTTTTTTAAATATTTTCATTAATTTAAAGTATAACTTTCAATATTTTTTAGTATTTTTTTAAATGTGGATATCTTTAATATTTTGGAC